CCCCACCCCCACATCTCTGCCTCAGGTGAGTCCAACAGGCTTCCACTCCTCCAGCAGGAAAGAGATCTCCTTCACACATGGTCTACCCGTGGTTGGCAAACAGCGGCTCACAAGCCACATGCGGCTCTTTGGTCTCTTGAGTGTGGCTCTTCTTAAGCCTTAGGAGTACCCTAATTAAGTTAATAACAATGTACCTACCTATATAGTTTAAGTTTAAAAAATTTGGCTGCCGGGAGCCGGTCCATCCCTGCTGCTTGACACAGTTGCTGCAGGGAAGGAACATCAGCACAGCATGTTTCAAGGGACCTGGCGAATATGGCATACTGTTCTTAATATGTTTTCTCCCCTTCTTGGCGCTATGAGTTTTAACCAAGGTCACCTCTCCGAGAAAGGTTGTTTCCCCAGGTAGGAATTTTCCCCTGAAGTTAGGGAGGGAGTGAAACTCCTTAACTAAGTGCCAGGCGGGTAGTTAATCACTTTAGCTAAGAACAATCATGCTTAAGCTACATAATCTTTACTCCCTGGAATGGAGATAAGAAACACCCTAACCTTTGGAATAGAAACTGACAGGATTAAAAAAAACTGGTATAAGTACAGATGTAACAAGACAACAGAAACAGAACCTGGACACAGAACTTGGAGAGACGGAACCTAGAGACAGGACTTGGCTGGAGATCCTACACAGAACCTAGAGATAGAACCTAGAGACAGGGCTTGGCTGGAGATCCTAGACAGAACCTAGACACAGAACCTAGAAACAGAACTTAGCGAGAGAACTTGGCTGAAGAACCTAGACACAGAACCTAGAGACAGAAACTAGAGACAGAACCTGGATAGAACATGGCAAGAGAACCTGACTAGAACTTGGCGACAGAACCTGACTGGAGATCCGGGCTAGAACCTGGCTGGAGAACCTAGCGAGAGAACATGGACACAGAACCTGGCACCAGAACTTGGTTGGAGATCCTAGCCAGAACTTGGTTGGAGATCCTGACCAGAACTTGGCTGGAGATCCTAACCAGAACCTGGCTGGAGAACCTGGCTAAAGAACCTGGAACAGAATCTGGCGGGAGAACCCTGCTATGCTGATCAACTGAACACTGCCTCCGTGTCATTCCTTCTTCTCCAACTCCGTCCACACCTTTGGGGACCCCTGGACCTTCTGGGGTTGGATCCCAGCATTTGGCTCTCAAAAAAAATTTCAATTGTTGTACTGTGGATATTTGGCTCTGTTGACTAATGAGTTTGCCGACCACTGGCCTAGGCAATTCTCAAACCTCTGCTTTTGAGTGGGTCCTAGTGCAAACACTATCAGTCCTTCAAGTCCTGCGCAGGAACCCTTTAAGAGAGGAATCTCCTGTTCCTTATACTTCTATGGTGCTCCTTGGCATAAGCCTTGTTGGTTTTTGAAGACAGACATTTTTTGAGCTCAGGTCTCTGGCAAGAGTTAGGGCAGTGATGGCGAACCTATGACACACGTGTGAGAGGTGACACGCGAACTCATTTTTTTGGTTGATTTTTCTTTGTTAAATGGCATTTAAATATATAAAATAAATATAAAAAATATAAGTCTTTGTTTTTCTATGGTTGCAAATATCAAAAAATTTCTATATCTGACAGGGCACCAGAGTTAAGTTAGGGTTTTTCAAAATGCTGACACACCGAGCTCAAAAGGTTCGCCATCACTGAGTCAGGAGCCTGATGTGAGCCACAAACCCCTCGGTCCTCAAGGGTGGACTTGGGCATTTGTTATATCCCTCCAGCACAGATACCACTCGTGTTCCCTTATCTATCTCCCTGCCTGCTGTGGAGCCACAGAGTCACTGCTTAGGTAGTGGTGGGGTCAGACTCCCTGTGTGAGGACTCAAGCTCCTCTGCACTTTCCTCTTCTGTGTCCTGTGGCAGCAGCTGCTTTGACCTTAGCTCCTTGTAGCCTCACCATAAAAATAAATTCTGCAGCCCCAAGGCAGAATGCATACCCTGCTCCTCCCTCCTCTACAGGAACTTGGTGGGTCTCAGGATTTGTTGAATCTTGGATAGGATGAGAAATATTTGGAGGCTCTTACACCTTGTTTGGATTATGCTGGAGCCATAAAATGATCTGTACCACCAGGGGCTAACTGCATATGGTCTGAGGGTTGTTTTCAGTATCTGGCCCACTAGCTGGAATACACTTCTGTTCTCCTTCAGCCTCATTCCTTATCAGGTTCCCTTCATGTATGATGAACATGGCATTAGTAGACAGTGTTAGTGGGTCCAAATTCATATCAATGTAGCCTTTATAACTTTTCCCTCTGAGCACAGAGCCAAGGAAAAAACTTATCTCATATTGAAGATCTTTATTTAACCTTCAAACTTTGGCAACCATCAAGACATGGATATCTACTGAGATCTCTTCTTTCTTTGTTTATTGCTTCATAGTCCTATTTACTTGGAGTTCCTTAGAGAATCCTGAGCCTAAATTGTAGCCACAGGGCCATATTGAGTCCAGGTGGGAGAAAGAGCAACACTGTGTCACCACTCTATAATACCTTCCCTAACAGACCACCAGCATCCTTTCTAATTTAAATGGTCATGACCATCTATGTGACCTGGTAGTTACCTGCCAGGGTCACTTAGCTGAGTTGGAGATACAGGACAGGAGACTGGGCATGCTGACATTGGCTACCTTAGCTGAGCTATTAGTGATGATCTTCTCAATGCTATAGAAAGTACTTCATTCCTGTTCTCTCTCAGCCTTTTGAGAAGCCAGACTTAGTGGATGTGTGAGAAACCAACAAAGGTATGTAAGCCTAGAGCTAGAGTGGACATTATGTTGTGAAAGCCAGTAAGCACAATGTCCAAGAGCCTAAAATAGACACAGGTGACTAAAATGTCACAATCCCCTTATGGAAAATGAAGTCTAAGATTGTTATCTGGCACTTGAGGTCCATAGGAAGTCCTCATAGTCTAATGCACTTTCCACATCAGTCTAATTCTGCTATCAACAATGTGGCCTTGAAGGCAGCTGACTCTCCACTTTATTGTAGCCTCATGAGTTCTCCAGAAACAAAAACAAAAAGCCAACTTATTAGAAGAATTAGCCAATATTACCTCTATGGGAAGAAAGAGCCCAGGCTTGATGTTGCCCTTTTGTTACAAAGTATATAATAGAACTGCCAGCCTTTTTTTTCTTACCTAGTCCTATGTTTCACTCTTACCCCCTGCTCCCCATTCTCTCACCTCCTTATCCTGAAAGCTATCATCATGTCTCCCTGGAAGTTGTGCTTATATCCTACTCATCCTGTCAATTCTACTGAATCTATCTAATATTCCATAGCCCAACACTGATCATTCCTTTTACTCTTGGAAAAGTGTCTGAAATGTCACAAAATTGGTGAATTGTCAAAGGGCCATATGTCATTATCACTACAGGCTCATGTGATACCAAAGGCCTAGCAGTTTTCTCACACCAGCGACATTGGCATTTTCAAAATCAGACAAGGTGGTGTGTCTTCAATGAACAGGTCATTTTCTTTACCTAATACTTTTTTTTTCTCCTCCATATGCCATATTTCCATAATATTCAGCTTTCGGTTTAACCTTTATGTTTTCAAGTTAGAATTTCTGGATAGCTCTTTACCTGTCCCCATTATTTGATTTCCTAACACACACATTTCTCTAGTATTGTTTGTCACATCAGCTTGCATATAATTTGCTGTACTTTGCAAGTGAATGTCAGGGTCATAGTGGTTTGAACTCTCTGTTCAGACTCATTTTTTGTGTTTCTGGATATTAGTATTAGCATGTAATTTGTAGTGATGAAAAATTAGTTGAGCCCAACCAGTGCTGCTCAGTAGTTGAGTATGGATCTATGAACCAGGAGGTCATGGTTTGATTCCCTGTCAGGACACATGCTCAGATTCCAGGTTTGAGCCCCAGTGTGGGACTTGCTGGAGGAAGCCTATCAATAATTCTCTCTTATCATTGATGTTTCTGTCTCTCTCTCCTTCTTCCTTCCTCTCTAAAATCAATAAAAACATATATTAAAGAAAGAAAAATTAGTTGAATGACCTTGCTAATATTTTGAGATGTCTTTCCAAAGACTGATATCTATTTCATCTGAATTTCTAATTTTTCAGATACGTTACTTGCATAATTCTAATGTATATTTCTCCTATCTCCCTTTACACACCATGAGGCTCCTATCAATGTCATTGGCAAATTTCCAGGAAAATGTGAAATGTTACCATTTATCAACACGAGAATCCTCAGAATTCCTAAGTTACTTGTTTCACCTTTGATTAACTCAATAATGTAGGAACAGACCCTTGATAGGGACCTTGAACATAGTAGGTTCATTGCAACTCTTGTATTGAAGATAAGATCCTTGTAAATCATTTACTATCTCTATGTACAGATCTGATAAAGGGTTTGCTCTTCCCAGGTACACACTGTGTTACATATCATGTCAAAATAATAAGAGAAATATTTTTAAACACACAGAAAATAATGGCAATTGTTACACTATAAATAAGCAAGTCAGAGCAGGTCTTTCTGATAAAGGAACATGGAAGGAGATTGTTGACTGAAGTATGAGAATGAATCCTACTGATACCAGGGGCAGCATTGCCTACTGAGAGATGAGTGGGTGTAAAAGCCCAGACCCAAAAGTGGTTTGGTGCGTTTCTTATTGAGGATGTGCTTGGCAAAGGAAAGAAGAAGAAGGAGAGATGTTGGGTCACGCAAACATCTTTTCTTTGTATAAAGGACCTCAGACCATCCTTTTGTTCAGTAAAAGTAAAGATCAATAACAACCATTGCACAGAAAGAAATGAAATGTGTCATGTTAAATTAACTAAAGTATTTACAATTGCCAGGTCACTGTGATCCTTTCTTTGTCTCTCTACCTCTTCTTTTATGTCCCTATATTTGTTCTTTCCCTGTCTTTGATTTCTATACAATTAACAATATTTATTCCCACTGTTCTTACTCTGCCCCCTTTTAACCTTTCCAATCAGGCAGAGCTCAGTGAACAAGAGGAGCCTCAGTTCAGAACAGGTAGGAAGGAACAGGGACCAGCTACGATGGCTTCAGAAATCCTGGTGAACATAAAGGAGATGATGACCTGCCCCATCTGCCTGGGGATCCTAAAAGAACCCAGGAGCCTGGACTGTGGGCACAGCTTCTGCCAAGCCTGCATCACTGCAAACAACAAGGAGTCCGTGAACGGCCAAGGAGAGAGCAGCTGCCCTGTGTGCAGGATCAGTTACCAGCCTGAGAACCTGCGGCCTAGTCTGCATTTGGCTAACATAGTGGAGGTGCTCAGGGAGGTCAAGTTGAGCCCAGAGGAGGATCAAAAGAGTGATCTCTGTGTGCACCATGGAGAGAAACTCCTGCTCTTCTGCCAGGAGGATGGGAAGATCATTTGCTGGCTTTGCGAGCGGTCCCAAGAGCACCGTGGTCACCAGACCTTCCTCATTGAGGAGATTACCCAGGAGTGCAAGGTAATAGACTGGGATGGAGGAAAGACAGGGCAGGAAATAGCACTTGATGGGAAATCTTAACTTTGCATTTGACTATAATTATATTGCCACCATAACCCTGAGGCCTGTGTTCACTTTTCTTCCTATGTTCACCTTCCAAGACCTGAAAGACATTTCTGTGCATTCCACACAAATGATGAGCAGACTTGAAATCAGAAGTAGGCATTTTTATACCTTGTGCTAATAGGTGGAGGCTTGGTGCACAAGCAAAGCTGTCATTGTCCCTTTGGACAGGAGAGTGAATCAAGACCTAAATTCTTTCCTTACACAGGATCAAGTTTTTTCTTCTAGGGCAAAGAGAGCTAGTCTTCTCTTGACATAGTAATGGTGACTTCTATCATCTGAGTCTTAAAGAACACACAACCACATCAGATTTCCTTCAAATCACAGATTCAAATTGTCATTTTGCAGTTTCTATAAACTCAAGTCTCTTTAGAGATCAATCTGATTTCTCCGCCATTTGTCCTCTCTTCTGATGATAAGAAAGCCCAAAGCTTGGCCCTGATGTGATTCCTCTCTCACAGGAGAAGCTCCAGAAAGCTCTGGACAGTCTGAGTGCAAAGCAGCAGGAAGCTGAAAAATTGAGAGCTGACCTTGAAAAGGAAACAACTTCCTGGAAGGTAGGAGGAGACTCTTCCTGAAGTAGCTAGACAAGATTCTGGGTAGGACCTTGGGTGTAGTCAGAAGGAGCTCCCTGTCTTCTTGTTCCCTGGCAGTTGATATGTCCAGATTTATTGATTAGCCATTCTTCATCCTTTCCTTGAGTAGAATATAAATCTGTTACAAACTAACACTGATATTTGTAGGTTAGTTATTGTCATAGAGAGATTATCTGGTGAGGAAGTCTAGTGAATTCTGTGTTCATGTCTCTGATTATTTTGAGCCTTTAACTCTTTCAGGGGAAGACGGTTGCCAACAGCTCATGTCTTTGATGTTCAACATTAGGCAGCGGTTGGGGTTGGGGGTCAGGGGTAATGCTGGAAGGCATGACTGCCCTGAGCAGCTCTGTGAGAGCTGAGCTACACCTTGGTGTCTCATTTTGTTTCAACAGTGTAGACTTGGGCCATTATTTTTGGATGTGATGAGAAGAAATAATAGGAAAAAATCAGCCTCCCAATAGTTGTTCCTGTGCTTGCATCTCCTTTCCCTCTGAGAACTTCCAAATCAAATACTTCTTTTTCTGGCTTCCACTCTCTTCCTGATAGCCTGAGTCCCTCTCTTTCTTTTCCATTCCTGAAGGATCTAATAGAGAATGAAATCCAAAGTATCCAGGATTATTTTAAAGAACTGAGAGGTATTCTGGACAGCGAGGAGCAGAAGGAGCTGCAAAGGCTGGAGAAGGAGGAGAGAGATGTTCTCAGTTACCTGGCCCAGGGTGGCAGTGAGCTCATCCAGAAGGGCCAGTTGTTGAGAGATCTCACCTGGGATCTGCAGCGTCGTTTGCAGGGGTCAACAGCAGAGATGCTGCAGGTAAGACTCAGAAAGAATCATCAGCATCTGAATTTGAGGAAAACAAAGACTCCTCAAATGATTTCCAAAACCTCTGATGTGTGGCTGTGCTGTTTGTGGTGGTGATGCTGAGGTTCCCTTGGTCTTGCAGTAACCGTTCCTTGCATCTATTTCAGAGGTTATGGAAATCGTCAAATGCATGAATAACAAGGGAAAATTTTATTTTTATAACTATAGGCGTGGTGCACAAAATTTGTGCACTGGAGGAAGGTGTGGGGGTGTCCCTCAGCCCAGCCTGTACTCTCTCCAATCTGGGAC